TTTTTTCTTCAAGTGCCCTGATGCATATTGTCGGGGTTTTGTGATTGAATAATTTTTTTACCTAATTATATAGCCCTTTGTTTTTTCCATAAAATTTTATTATTATTGTAATATATCCTTTTAATCACAACAAACTTTTAATTATAAAACGGAAACTATCTATGTTGTTGCATGCCTGCCAGCTCTTCTCCCTGCTTTTGGGTCCAGAAGAGTCAAGGTCGAGGTTATTGTTGCTAAAAATAGAAAATCTGTTTCCAGTCAGGTCACTGTTACTAAAAATAGAAAATAGGTTTCATTTCAATAACTAGTTTGGAATAAGATATTTTTATGAAATTTGGTGTAAAGCAATTTTTTATAAAGACCTCACTTGGGATGGCTTTTGGGCCCCCTAGAGTCAAGGTTATAGTAAAAATAGAAAATTCATTATTCATGATTTACATTGCACATCGTTTGTTGTTTGTACATGTATATTTGTATTTTAACTACAACATATTTATCTACAATGGTGATAATTGAAAACCTGGTTTCGTAGCATTGCCATGTTTCTTGTTTCTTCATGGATTCATGGATCATTCATTATCAACACCTACATTATATTTTTTTTTTTAAATTTTCATCTTTGTTACTTACTATACATTATAGTTAATGCTATATTTGAAAATTGTTATTTTTTTTACTTATCTTCTTTGTGACTATAAATGGTATTTTAATTATCTTCTTTGTGACTATAAATGGTATCTTTAATTTTACTTAAAGGAAAACTCACACCATGTATGACAATGTATCATAAATCTAACATCTTTATTTCAAGCGTTATCTCCTCTTTAAGAATTTTGCATTAAAATATGTTATATTTTGGTAGCAGGGATGTTTAAAAAAAAATAACTTAAGAGTCTCCTTCAGTCTGTCTGTCTGTCTGTTCATAAAAACTGTTTCCTGAGATCACTTTTAAAGGTTTTTTTTTTCAACAAATTTATTTAAAATAGAGAAAAGTTGAAACATTATTTATACTTATTCATCCCTTTCGATTATCTCTTGTATAAACATAATTTCCTTACTAGGCAGGGAAACTTAACACATTACTATGATATAGACAAACTTGGAACTCAAAAGATTTAAGTTCATTCATGTCATTCATTCACTGGTAAAATTGAATGCCCAATGACCCATCAGAATGTTGCTGGGGTTCTAACCGGTAGGGGACTTATGGATTGCTTGCAATACTATGATAATTGCTTGTTTTTTTATTTTCTTTTTAAATATTTGATTATTTGCTTTTTGAAAAAGTAAAAGAGTCGAGGTTGCCCGTGTACGGTGGTGGCTCTATAATTCAAAAGTAAGACATAACTATTGATTTCTTAATTGAGGAAACCAGTCCAAAATTTTCATAATTATGTCTATTCAATTTTAAATAAATAAAATAAAATAAATAAAAGAATATTCTTATTAAACAGATGTTGATCACATGTGTAAAGAAGTAAAAGAGGAAGAAATAGAGATTGAAGGAAAAAGATTTACTGTGAAATATCAGACAGCTGTTGCATGTGAACTGCCAGAGAGGTGGGAAAATTTTCAGGTACATTCCTTTGATATAATACTTCGCCTTTATTATGCCCTCGAAGGGAGGCATAATATAATCGCACCGTCTATCCATCTGTTCGTACAAACCCAAAGGTACTTGTGTGACTTGCAGAACAATAGGTAACGATCCTATTCATTCCGTTTATGCTTGTGTGTCTTTTTATGCCCCCGGGCATATATTAATTGAACCGTCCGTCCGTCTGTCCGTACAAACCAGAGCTACATTATGGGGTTTGGTCTATTGTTCTCATAACAATAGATGTCTTTGATGTCATTCATTCCGTTTCTCTTGTGGGGTTATTTTCTGCATTGTGGGGTTAAAAAGAACAAAAGAAATAACAAAAGAAAACCCCATAATGTAGCTCTGGTAAGAACGTCCGAGCAAACATTTTGGTTTTAGGGGCTATATAACAGTAAAGAAAACAAAAGAGAAAAATAGGTTCTATTCCGTGATCAAAGGGTTTAGGGGCTAGTAGCCCTTAAGAAAACAAAGAAAGCCAAAATGTTGGAACGTCCGTACGAGGTTAACCTAGAACGGCAAGTTGGATTTTTCTTAAGTTCTACCTGTACCAATGGCTTTTAGTTTACACACTTACTAATCAATACAAAGTACATGATCTGGTCAAGATTCATAACTATGGCTTCCATATTTACCAAGTTATTGCCCTTTTCAGCACTTAGAAAATGAATAATAGTTAACCTAAAACGGCAAGTTGGAAATATCTTAAGTTCTATCTATACTAATGGCTTCATAATTTCCACACTTATTTATCAATACAAAGTACATGATATTGCCAAGTTATATAACTGTGTCATCCATATTTCCCAGTTATTTCCCTTTTTTCACTTTGAAAATAGGGCCTTGTCTGGTTAACCTATTCCGGCAAGTTGGATTTATCATAAATTTCTCTTAATTGCTTAATTTATTTGATAATATCTTGCATATTTGGTAGGTGCATACCTTTAATGGTCCTCTAATTTTTTGTGGAGTAAGTGGTCTCTAGGTCAAGGTCAAGGTCACTGGTTTAGAAAATAAATTTAAACATTTTTGCTCATACAGCCTTTATTTTTTGGTTGATGTCTTTCATGTTTAATACAAACATGCCAAGGGAGGTCCTCCTTCTTTGGGTATAGTAAGGGGTCATTTGGGTCAAGGTCAATGTCACCAATGTTAAGGTCACCAATGTTAAAAATAGATTTTTACATTTTTATATGCCCGAAAGGGCATATTATGTTATACCCCCTGGCGTCCGTCCGTCCGTCCGTCCGTCCGTCCGTTAGCAATTTGGTTTCCGGAGCATAACTTAAGTCCCATTTGACCCACAATGTTCAAACTTCATAGAATGATTTTCCATATTGGGTAGAAGATCCCTATTGATTTTGGGGTCAAAAGGTCAAAGGTTAAGGTCACTATTACCTTGATACTGAAAACAGTTTCTGTCCGTTAGCAATTTGTCCGTTAGCAATTTGGTTTCCGGAGCATAACTTAAGTTCCATTTGGCCCACAATTTTCAAACTTCATAGGATGATTGTCCATATTGGGTAGAAGACCCCTATTGATTTTGGGGTCAAAAGGTCAAAGGTCAAGGTCACTATTACCTTAAAACTGAAAACAGTTTCCGGAGCATAACTTAAGTTTCAGTTGACCCACAATGTTCAAACTTCATAGGATGATTGTCCATATTGGGTAGAAGACCCCTATTGATTTTGGGGTCAAAAGGTCAAAGGTCAAGGTCACTATTACCTTAAAACTGAAAACAGTTTCCGGAGCATAACTTAAGTTTCAGTTGACCCACAATGTTCAAACTTCATAGGATGATTGTTCATATTGGGTAGAAGACCCCTATTGATTTTGGGATCAAAAGGTCAAAGGTCAAAGTCACTATAACCTTGATACTGAAAACAGTTTCCGTCCGTTAGCAATTTGTCTGTTAGCAATTTGGTTTCCGGAGCATAACTTAAGTTCCATTTGGCCCACAATGTTCAAACTTCATAGGATGATTGTCCATATTGGGTAGAAGACCCCTATTGATTTTGGGGTCAAAAGGTCAAAGGTCAAGGTCACTATTACCTTAAAACTGTAAAAAGTTTCCGGAGCATAACTTAAGTTCCATGTGACCCACAATGTTCAAACTTCATAGGATGATTGTCCATATTGGGTGGAAGACCCCTATTGATTTTGGGGTCAAAGGTCAAGGTCACTATTACCTTGATACTGAAAACAGTTTCCGTCCGTTAGCAATTTGTCCGTTAGCAATTTGGTTTCCGGAGCATAACTTAAGTTCCATTTGGCCCACAATGTTCAAACTTCATAGGATGATTGTCCATATTGGGTAGAAGACCCCTATTGATTTTGGGGTCAAAAGGTCAAAGGTCACTATTACCTTAAAACTGTAAACAGTTTCCGGAGCATAACTTAAGTTCCATTTGACCCACAATGTTCAAACTTCATAGGATGATTGTCCATATTGGGTAGAAGACCCCTATTGATTTTGGGGTCAAAGGTCAAGGTCACTATTACCTTGATACTGAAAACAGTTTCCGTCCGTTAGCAATTTGTCCGTTAGCAATTTGGTTTCCGGAGCATAACTTAAGTTCCATTTGGCCCACAATGTTCAAACTTCATAGGATGATTGTCCATATTGGGTAAAAGAACCCTATTGATTTTGGGGTCAAAAGGTCAAAGGTCAAGGTCACTATTACCTTTAAACTGAAAACAGTTTCCGGAGGATAGCTTAAGTTCCATTTGACCCACAATGTTCAAACTTCATAGGATGATTGTCCATATTGGGTAGAAGACCCCTATTGATTTTGGGGTCAAAAGGTCAAAGGTCAAGGTCACTATTACCTTGATACTGAAAACAGTTTCCGTCCGTTAGCAATTTGTCCGTTAGCAATTTGGTTTCCGGAGCATAACTTAAGTTCCATTTGGCCCACAATGTTCAAACTTCATAGCATGATTGTCCATATTGGGTAGAAGACCCCTATTGATTTTGGGTCAAAAGGTCAAAGGTCACTATTACCTTGATACTGAAAACAGTTTCTGGAGCATAACTTAAGTTCCATTTGACCGACAATGTTCAAACTTCATAGGATGATTGTCCATATTGGGTAGAAGACCCCTATTGATTTTGGGGTCAAAAGGTCAAAGGTCAAGGTCACTATCACCTTAAAAATTGAAAACAGTTTCCGGAGCTTAACTTAAGTTCCATTTGGCCCACAATATTCAAACTCCTTAGGATGATTGTCTCCATATAAGGTAGAAGACCCCTATTGATTTTAGGGTCACAAGGTCAAAGGTTAAGGTCATTATTATTAACTTAAGTATTAATCAACCTACATCTGTAAAATTTATAGGATGAACAGCTAATTCCCATGTCTTACAAATGCTTCATCCTTACAAAAAAAAAACACACTTTCGGGCATATTATGCTCCGCCTAGCGGTGCTCTTGTTACAAGTGTATTAACCATATTCTATAGACAGATGTCATTTATAATTGATAGGAACATAAAATTTGATGGAGTTAGTGGTCAGTTGGGTCAAGGTCACCAGTGCTAAAAAAAGATTTTTACACTTTTGCTAATACAGCCTTTATTTATCGACAGATATATTTCATATTTGGTAGGAATATAACTTGCATGGTATTCATCCTTTTGATTGGGGTAGGGATCAGTGGGTCAAGGTCACTTGTGCTAAAAATAGATTTTTACACTTTTGTTCATACAGCCTTTATTTATTGACAGATATATTTCATATTTGGTAGGAAGATAACTTGCATGGTATTCATCTTTTTGATTGGGATAGGGATCAGTGGGTCAAGGTCACTTGTGCTAAAAATAGATTTTTACACTTTTGCCCATAAAGGCCTTATTTATTGACAGGTGTATTTCATTTTTGATATGAAGATAACTCGCATGGTATTCTTCCTTTTGATTGAGTTAGGGATCAGTGTGTCAAGGTCACTAGTGCTAAAAATAGATTTTTACACTTTTGCCCATACAGCCTCAATTTATTGACAGATATATTTCATATTTGGTAGGACGATAACTTGCATGGTATTCTTACTTTGGATGGAGTTAGGGGTCAGTTGGGTCAAGGTCACAAGTGCTAAAAATAGATTTTTACACTTTTGCCCATACAGCCTTTATTTATTGGCAGGTGTATTTCATATTTGGTTGGAAGATAACTTGCATGGTATTCTTCCTTTGGATGGAGTTAGGGGTCAGTTTGATCAAGGTCATCAATGCTCAAAATAGATTTTAACATTTTTGCCCATACAGCCTTTATTTATTGACGGGTGCATTTCATATTTGGTAGGAAGATAACTTGCATGATATTCTATAGGTGTCAGTGGGTCAAGGTCAAGGGTGCAAAGTATAGATTTATTACATTTATAAACATTTGATAAAGTTGAATATTTATCACTTCACAAGTCATAGCAATGACTTGGCAACTTATATATTTCACAATTACAAAATGCCATGACTCTGTCAACCTATATAACTTGTGTTTATAATTTTTTGGCAATGTTTCTGCCCATAACTGAGTGAATTGGTAAACATTTTTTTAAATATTGCTACTGACAAGAATCGGAGCTGGGGGCATTTGTGTTTAACAAACACGTTCTTGTTTTAAGCCTTGTATGGCTAAAAAGATCAAAGGAAAAGTCACATAAGTACCATTTCGTAAGAACGTCCGTCTGTCCCACTTCATTCGTGTATGGACTCTAACTTTGTCATGCATTGAGGGATTTTGAAATAACTTCAAATAACACAAATGTATAACATATCAAGATGATGTGTCGTGTCCAAGAACCACGTCCCTACCTCAAAGGTCAAGGTCACACTATCATTTTGAAGTGTCACATTATCGCAGTGAAAGTAAATAGGTACACACATTCGTGTCCGAACTGTAATTTTTTCATGCATCAAATGATTTTAAATTAACTAGGCATAAATGTCTACCACATCAAGACGATGTGTCGCGTCTTACA